TGTAGATACAACACCAATGGAGTTGCTGATGCATCACCAGCCTATCAGTGGGTTCATTGTTACGTCTCTAACTAGGCGAAAAGCATATTCATCTTCCACTTTATACCGGTCTACTGCGAGGTCGTTTCACTGCCACAGCCATTCATGCAAGCAGAAGCTGCTGCGTGAATGGAACTTTACAACAATAAAACTTGGCTTGCGGCCTCTGGTAACATCTACTGACGATAACCAACATGGCATCCGCCTTCAGAGAAGAGCGGGAATTCGAGTGCAGAGACGCATGTTTTAAATATTCAGTTTATAAAAATAAATTCTAGATGGCGCTGTCTGACCATACGGGCAAAATTTGAATTTAACGCCAGTCTCTAGTTTTGTGTCCCGATATAAAGGTAAGAATATAATTATATTTTATAGTTTTAACATTAGATATTAGTAAGATTAATAGCTAAGTTAGTAAATATTTTGTAGAAATATAAATATTTTTCTATATGTTAATTTGGATTGTTTTAAATAAATGTTTGATAGGTACTGAAAATTCTGCGAGCACATAACGCATAATTCACTTTAATTTTTAATGTCAAATCAATTTAATTTAATGTTCTTAACGAATGAGAATACTGTTGTATTATACAATTTTATGATACTTCTAGTTGGACATTTGTGTTTTATCCATGATATTTGTTCTACATCCAATAAATCTCGGGGAGAGAGACTCGTAGCGTAACAAAGGATAACACCTACCGACGACCGTCTAGCAAAAACAACCCTTCAACGCCATTAAAATCCTTTCGCGCGCTTTTATTTTTCCTTTTTATTTTTATTTATAGCTTAATCAATGGCTGCAACGTTTGCTTATCCACTTGATGGTTTAGTATAACATTGTATACGAAATCTATTACATGTCGATATCACATTTCACAAACATTTAAGCTTGATACGATAATGGATTATGACAATGTTAAACATATAAGTCACATTCTACTGTTTACGTAATGCATAAGTTACTATTAATAAATAATGAATGACTTTCCATATAACCGTGAATAGCAATATGTCTTTAAATATTAATTTATGATTTTAAAATTAAATCTGACGCATTTAAAATTGTTTTTAGCAATAAACGATTTAAAGCAAAATCCTATATTAACTCTTTGAAAATAACAAACAGCCGTATCATATGACCAAAGGTCGGCAGACTACTATCTTTAAAACCGATATTTTTTTATTCATGTTATAGATTATATTAGTATTTTAGTTTATTTTTATGATACTTTCCTTCCGCCGAGGGCCTAAATGTAAATCCTTACTTCGTATTGCAACAATTTCACTGGTATTGAGATTTGAACTCTGTCGCTCGTGTAAAATGAATTAAAAGGAAACCCACGACACTGAGTCACCGCGGCTCTTAGCTGATTTTTGGACGAGTTTCAATGTTTCAATTTTTAATCTGTTTTCATATAAATACAACAAGAATATGCTTAAGTAGTAATAATAGTCCTTACTAATATTATAAAGGCGTATGTTTGTAACTCTTTCACGCAAATGCAACTGAATGGATTTTAATGAAACTTTACAATTATCTAGCTTATACACCAGAATAAGACATAGGCTATAATTTATATACATATTTTTATTTATATCTGTCTGTATGTTACGCTTTTAGTCTATTCTACGCAAACGTAGTCGCGGGCAGAAGCTAGTATGTAATGTAGACCATAGCGAATACTTTACTGTTCAGCGTGGCGGGACTAACACTTACATACATTCAGTGCCGCTTAATTGTGACGGCGTGAACGTAACTTCAGCCTTCATACGACACTCCGTACTTTTACGGAATCCAGTAAAGTTCACTTTACGAGAAATCACGAGCTGTAAACCTATCCAATAAAAGCGACAGTCATCTGCGTATACAGCGTGTCGTTACCATCGCGACAATAAATGAACACACGTCTAACGCTACTTGCCAATAATCATAAAAAATATTAACGTTAAACAAAATCCATAACTAAAAAAAATGTGTTTCAAACAAACTAATTAAGTAAAAAAGAAACAAAATTTGTGACATCCTCCTCTCACAAGCCTCTCCTTCTAACAGTATGTTTTGTCTCTTTTAAAATCATTCAACCCATTCATATGCTTTGTCACCTTTACAAATAAACTTTACGTTATAGTTTTATACGTAAGGATGTTCTAAAATTCTTTGTTTTGGAAAATTTAATAACTCTGTAAATATTGATGTTTAAAGAATGTAAATGTTTAACACAATTTTAAAAAGTTATCCCCTATATGTGTGTTCATTTATTGTTGCGATTGTAAAGACACGCTGTATATATACGTATATGTCATAATAAATTTCTTAATGTTATCCTGTCATGATATATTTTACACGTAACCTAAGTAACTACCGGTGACCTACAATAGAAATAAACAAATGAAACACTGAATTTTCGACTGCACCGAAGCCGCCACAGTCTGTGGCCGCTTTTCTAATTGCTAAGGCCGGTGCGATCCTCACTTTCGACAGAATTTGCGCGCCTTGTAAACTGTTGTTCAGAGTCGGGGTATTTTTTTTTTGTGATTCGTCATATTTGTGGAACCACCTGCTGTGGCCGTCACACTGAGTTAGAGCCACGCAGCAGCTACGTACAGCACGCACGTATGGGTATCAATTTGGAATAACTTTCGCGTTTGGTCTGGTGAGTGTGGTCATCTAGGGCCCACTTTGTTATGGTTGGCAACGTCCCTGCTACGTCAGGTATTGTGGATGTCCCTCGGCTGCTAGATTGCAGACTTTTCGAAAAAAAAAGACGGAGAATTTTTTTATCGAATTTGAAATTTTTCTACTGCGAAAGTAAAACAAAAGCTCGTTTCTCGCTTGAACGATGATATAATTACTAAAATGAAAGTTTTAATTTTTATACAAAAACGAGAGTTGTTGTTATGCATACAAAAACATGTAACCGTCAATAAAAGGTCAGGTAGATACCAGTACCAAAAACATTGTTGACAGTTAATACCTCCCACCGTTGGACTTGTGCCCAACATCCCATTTTAAGAGCTTCGAAAAATAAAAAAGTAGGGTGTCCAAAGGATGATTTTTTTTAAGGTTTAGCACCCAAAGGGTAAAACAGGACCCTATTACTAAGGCCCCGCCGTCTCCATGTCTTTTTGTCTGTCCGTCTGTCACCAGGCTGTATATGTCATGAACAATAAACAATAGTACACGTAGTGACAAGTATAACAACAAATACTAAAAAACAGAATAAAAAAATATTAAGAGAGGCTCCCATACAAAAGATATGATTTTTTGCCGTTTTTAAAGATAATGGTACGGGACGCTTCGCGCGCGAATCTGAATCGCTCTTGGCGGGTTTTTTATTGACGTTTACGCAGTTCCACTGCGGTTAACGTAACTTAAATGCCTCTGATATTTCTCTCAGATAAAGATATATCCTCATATTATTTTCTGTGACGTAGTTCATTAATCAAATAAAATAATAATATCTGACCAACGAATGATGGATTCCTCTTAACTTTAATGAGTTTTGAATTCGTTGTGCTTCAAAATGTAAAATATGTTGAATAATCATTTAATTTTTATTCATATATATGCAGTAAAAGAAATGTCTCTGTTTTTAACGGTGGCAGGGCCACGCAACAGCTTCGGCTGTTGCACGTCCGTTGGGCAGGTCCGTCCGGGTAAGTACCACGACCTCACAGAAGACCGGCCTGAAGTGGTAGTGTTACACTTCTGCGTTTCGTCTGGTGAGTGAGGTAGCCGGGGCCCACTTTATTAAAAGGTGGCAACGCATCCGCAACCCTACGGGTATTGCACATGCCCATGGGCGGTTATCAGGTACAACAAAACAACTACATAATTCCTCTGCGGGAATGCAACCCTGGACACGGCGTTGGAAAGCGATCACATGTATCGTTGCTGTACCGTCGAGTCAACATAGAGCAGAAACTCTTATGGACGTTCAGTTATTACAATGGTACTTAAATTATACATATTATACGTCGACAATAAATTATACGTAGGTTATTAAGCACTTGACATAAGGATAAAGCGCGAATACAACCGCCGTTATGACTTCATTCGACATTAGTGATGCTAGTAAACATTCGCTATCTATTTTCCGCAGGCACGTTACATTCTGTTCAATAAATTGGCCACTTGTGTAATAAAAATATCAAGTACAGTTAAAAAGTGCACGGAACCCTCAGAAAACCAACATCTAGTTGGTTTTCATAAGTCATTTTTGAGGCATTTAGACGCGAATAAATATGCGAATAATAAACGAGATTTTGTTTTATGTGCGTAGGTATTTAATTTGTTTTTAATTTTAAAATTTACAGATTTTCATGGTAATTTTTTAATTTATTAAAACGGTCTATTGACATTAACTTGACATTAAGTTTCCCGCCTTTGTTGTTACTTTTTTTTTATCGGGGCCCCTGTGCGCGGACAAATGTCGAAAGCGTATGTTTATTACGAGCGCTTCCAATCGACGCGATAGAATTGGCGCGGTCGAGCGGGTCGCTTTGTTTACATCGGGGCGCACCGTGTCTCGGCACGCCACGCCGCCGCGGTTCGATTAAGGACAAATCAATAAGGCGGCGATAGCGAGCGAGTTTAATAGAGTGAGCGAGTCGACTCGGCTCGAGCGTCCTCATTACCCCCGCAATTAGCGCACGCCGCGCTCCCGTCGGCGACGACGCACCCCGCGCGAAAAACGAATAAAAAGAGCTGCCCTCAAAATGGCCGCCGCCCTCCTCCCCGTATACCCCCCCCCCCCCAACCCCGCGCCGCTTCGTGATTGCATCCCCGCAGCTCTTATAAATATGGCCGTATTCCTCCCGCCTTTACTGATTGCCCGTATACCCCCCTTACTCCCCCCGCGACCGCGCCGCCGGCGTCTGAATAGATAAACGAGTCCACGTGGACTGCCGCGCTTATAAAAATCACCTCCGCCAATGGTGAAGCGCCCGCACTGCTAGCCGACCAACTGCCGTGCTGAAACGCGTGTAACTCCGCCCTTAATAAGCGATCTCGTCGTCTGCACCAATGACGACGGGGAACGGCGAGGATGCCGCTCGACGGCGGCGAAGCGGTCCACGTGGACGGACGCACACACGCGGCGGAGTATAATGCCTCGAGTGGAAATAGCTATGACGGCGAAATGTGCGACGGCGAAAAAAATAAAATGCGGTCGGTCGGTGCGGCGGCGGACGGAGCGGGCGAGTGGGTGTAAACAGGGGATATTTCGGTGCGGCTCGCCCGTTGTTATCGAATGCGCGGCGCTAATGGCGGATCGCGGGTCGCGGCGCGCTTCCCGCTCTTCGACCGCCTCGTTGAGCTGCTCCACCGATGGCCGAACGCGCGTTCCTTGCACTCGTTGACACGGCAGCATTGCTCTGCGCCACAGGCTAATAATCCGCTAGAGCATTATTAATGCAACATTACTCTGTGTCGAATGACTAAGCCAATAAGCAAACACGTTTATCGCACGCATTCCGTATTAAGCAGCTACGTTTCTAGAACTGTCCATAAAACCATAGTATAATTGGACAATTCTTTCCAATGCTAAACCGTTAACATTAAAACGCATTAAGTTAAGCTAACAAGAATAAGTCGAACACAGCCTTACTGGCTGCGGCAATTAGTTGAGAATATTCAGTCGTACAAGACAAAAATGTCGTAAGAATGGACCGCATCATAAAAGCAGCTCGCGCTTTGTAAATCGATACGTTCCACGCAACATGAATACAGGACAAAAAACTTCGGTATGTCACGCGTCCGTAGAAGCGATGGGCCCAGGATGTGTAAGAAACGTAAAGCGGAGATGTTTATCGACGTGGGCGTATTGTGGCGACCGTCGCGCGATAAACTATGTATGCCTGGTCGGTAGCAATGCCGGCGACTTGTCTTGGTGGAAAAAATCCCCGATACGCAGCGCTTAACTCCACGATTTCCTCGTCTCGAGCGGAGCTGAATTGCTAATGTGTTTTAGTTTTGTACAAGTCGAACGCCCACTGATACTCTCGCCACTGACGTGATATTCTCGCCTTTTTTTTATATTTAGTACCTAGATGTTATCTGTGATATGCGTCTTTGATTAAAGTTCATTCGTTTTATATCGTAGAGAAATGTTAATGGTTTCATTTCAAAAAAATTTTAATCGTATATCAAATAAGTCAAAAATGTACCAAACATTAGAGATTTCTTTCTTTTTTTATCAAAATTGCATTACATTCTTTTAACTTACACAAACAGATGTATAAACAATTGCTATTATATTACGGTAAAGCGTTAGGATATAAATGTTTTATCGTTTGCCTTTTAACACGCTTGACATGTATCTGTATACATACCTAAACATTAATTTAATAGAATCTCTCAATTCAATTTTGAACTATATATTTTTAAATTTACACTTTAGCGTGTGAACTGTTTGTTACCAAGATCACATCAGCTCATTATAAACGATTGTCTATGTTACGTTTACATAAACAATTTCCTTTACATTTTTTAGCAAAATTCTATTACGTGAAACTATAATAAATTTATATGCTCTGTATCGCGTTAAGTTTTATTTTATGCTAAGTTACAGCCTCGATGGAATTACACTATGTAATAATTCCATCGAGTGTACAAAATTAATATTAAAATTGTTATTTACCAAGCGCTTCTGTTTACAAGAGTAACTTTCAATTTTACGTAAAAATAAATTTTATCGTACATTTACCGTTCCGTCCTATTAGTCTACCTTCGTGAAATTAAAAAAAAACTTGTTTTTTTTACGCTAGAATTTTTAGCACCGCAGCCGGAGGTCGGGTCAAATATTTGATTAACAGCGAAATCGTCGCGTAGAGGAAATGTTTGACCTCACTTTATCGGCCAAGCACTGCTTGTTGTTTATCACTCTCGTGTTTTTATTCTCGATTATCGTTAGAATTAATTCACGCCGCGATCGAATGCGAGAAGTAAATCAAAGGCCTATTGTGTTGTCACACTCAAATTACACGAGGAGTCACCGTGACAAATAGGTCCGAGCCTATTTTCAATTCATTGATTTGTTTCCTGATTTTCTAATGGCAGTCCTATCTGAGAGCAATATCTTACAACTCCTATGACTGTAGTATACAGATTATACAAAAGACAAAGATATAGATATATATATATATATATATATATGGATGAATAGTGAGAGGTATTAGTCGAAAAATTACAAGCAAAATATCTACATACAAATATGTTTTTAAAGGTGGTAAACGCATTTTGTTGACATAATAATTAATGTATATGGGCTGCGGTAAATATCTTGAATATTAATAAGTTAGTCTTTTTTTCGAAGCACTGAAGATTAATATGCAAGTGTATACTTGACAAAAAATCCATCGTATATTCCTATATTAAAAATAATTGCCATTCATTGTGTGAAAAATTCGAAGATATCGTAGACCTCATATCGAATCGGCGTCCGAGTTAATTTCGCGGCAAAACATCCGTAGCCCGAACTAATTGCCCCAACATGAATAATGCACATGTTATTGTCGGAGCTGCACGCAGTCCGACCCGCTCCGCTCTAACGACTTATTAATTGCCCTCCCGTAATAAGACATTTAGTGCGACAATCGCGGCCAAACACCCAATATTGCGGCCACACGAATGCGCAATATGCAAATATTAGTGTAAAAAAATATATAATAAATAAAAGTGTTTTATTCTGCGATTGGACATTTTTTATTTAATTTTGAATTATGAATTTCGTTAGGCGCATTCGCTGACAGTCACTGACCTGCTGGCAGTTAATAAAATAAAATAAATAAATGGCTTATTGGTGTATTCTGTGTAGAAGGTATATATTTTTAGTATTAAGAAGATTACCAAATTCTAAAGATTCTGTGGAGTTCGAACTCTACATTTTTCTATTTCTCATACAACAGGTAAAACGCTTTTTAATCTGCAGACATCACGGGGATGTTGAATCTGTAACTAATCGAAAATGCAACAACCGTTATTAAAATATAGTTGGTATTTTGGTGTTTGTGGTTTTATTGTGATTGTGGTTTTATGTCATTTTCTTATTCGTGTGAAATATGTGGTTTTCCACGCTCACAATATATCGGGAATCTAAAAACATAGGTACTGAGGTTTTTTTGAATGTGAAAATATGTGAACCCGTCCAAAAAATTTGTTTTCCATGTCATGCGGACTGTTTATTTTGCTATTCATTCCCGGCGTTTCAAACTCTTTACATCGTTCATGTTCACGGGACAGAATTTATTTAAAATCTTTTAGTAAACTGTAGTTAGTATTCGTGTAGAAATAATAAATTATCATGTATTACGCGTTTTTATAATAGAAACATATGAGCATATCGTGTTGGCGGCAATCGCGACAATAGTGTCCGATGGCGGGTGCATTCATTAACAAATAAATGCACCATCGGATAAGCAGTGACGTGTCAAACAACGTGCGATAACAACGGTATTCTCTCTGTTTTACCGCGTTTAAATCAGCTCGAATCGTATTAAAAATAAAATCTTCTAATTAAACTTTAAATATACGCATCCTTAGTAATGTTATAAAGGCGAAAGTTTATATGTATGGATGGATGTTTGTTACTCTTTCACGCAAATACTATACTGAATGGATTTTAATAAAATTTTACACTAATATAGCTTATACATCAGAATAAGAAATAGGCTATAATTTATTTACATATTTTTATCCATATCCTTTCTGCCTAAATGTTACACCTTCAGCCTATTCTACGCAGACGTAGTCGCGGGCAGCCGCTAGTATCTAATAAAGTATAATTAGTATAATCTAATAAAAATTATAATCTAATACACATTTTATAAAACTGATTGCTATTTTTCATTTTAAACACCCGACTTTTCGAATGCTTTTCCTTAATCAGTCCAGCCCGTGATCATGATGGCTGTAAAGCATTCGAAACGTATGATGTTTCAAAATAAAATCCGTAAATTAGTTTTATTGAAAACATATTAGCCGAATGAAGTAATATAGCATAGATATTAATAAAAAAACTTATCACAATCGAAATGTAGGTACTTGAGATAAATTTGGATGGGCTTTATCTAATCTCTCTCGAACGAGACGAAACTTAACGCTGTGTAAAAGGTTCCCCGAGTAGTAAACGTTCTTATGCACCATCCGTTGCTGCTCGAAGATCTAAGCTGACAGCTGCAACTCTGAATCTTGTAATTGTAATACAACATTAAAAAAATAAATCATCTGCTTATCTAAGGTGCACCTTTAATTTATCGAGCAGAAAGAAAAAAATACACTCGTTAAAATAAGTCTAATTAAAAGATAGAAAAATTGTGAAATGAAAATTGTCTCAAACATATTAAATATTTATTTATTTATCCTTTATTGATACACCTTACACCTTAAATAGGGAATTACAAAGGGTGGACTTAATGACAATTGGCGTTATCATTAGTCAACTTGGGGCGTGAAGCAAATATGGTAGGTGCTCACAGGAAAACTAGTGAATAAAATCAAAAATTCGAATTGAGTATATTTATACATTCTTATTTGTGCACTGAGTAAAGGAAACATTCATACTGTCAACTGTAGTTTTCTTATTACTACTACCGTTGGGATTTACAAACATTGTTACGCGAAGTAATCGCATACGGCTATGTTATGCGCGCCACACCTCCATGTCAATTTCGAAATAAAGAGTAGAAACGTGCGACTACAATGTAGGAAACAGGTAAGAACAGCTAAACAGAGATAACAGGAAAAGTATTGGGGTAACCTTTTTTACTCATTTAGCGAGACGGCCGAACAATGAAATTTACTGTCACGAATAATCTCAAGCCTCATAATGCCAACTAAACACTTTAGTATTATTAGATTTATATCTTGCAATAGACTATTTTTATTCTGTATATTAAATAAGAGCAACGTAATTGCTCGTTACCGAATCTTTGTTTTTGTGTATACTTTGAATAAGTTTCACAAAAAATAAGTAGTCTAAAATGGAAGCTACAAGAATTACAGCAATACCATTAACTTTAATATTTGAATTTGGAACATTAAGCGCGAGAATTAGCACTCGAAGTGGTTCGGAAAAAAAAACAGAAAAGAAAAAAAGCTTAAAGCCCGCCAGAATGAACGAGTCGGGGCCTTCTGGGAACCGAGGTGACTTTTTCAAACGGTCGCTTTTTGCGCATAACACAATGGCAGCTTACACAACTAAACGTTCGCGCCGGTTAATTATACAGCGTGTTTTGTTTGCTAAGTTTGTCCAGTGGATTGGCTCGGTGTTGGGCGCCCGGCCGTGTTATTTCCTTCTTTGTTTTATTGACCACCAACTCTGCAATTAATTGCAGCTGACGAGGTGTGCTTGCTTATTTTTATCATTAATGACCATTGATATAATAAACACCACGGTTGTGCATTATTTGTGAGACGATTCGAATCCGGCACAGAAATAAATTATAATGCATTTAAAACAACACATCGCAACAATGATAACGATATAAATATTCGATATAAATATAAACAAACTTTGTGTAATCATTATCGTCCGTTCATTATGATCAATTTATTTTATTTATTGTTTTAACACACGAATGGGTGAAAATTCTTTTCTGTTCTGATACGGTGGTGTTTTATTGAGGAGAGTGGTTCATCGGTTTACTTCTTCGGGACTGAAATTCGACGCGATTCATTGGCTCAGTCGATACTTACCATCTGTCATGGTGGTCTGAACAGTCTGTAAATAGTTTGGGTCAGTAAAAAATGCTTGTGTGGCGACTGACCTTATTAATTTCCTTTCATAGGTTGTAAATTTTTTTTTATTATTGTGATGTGTGTATGTTGCAATAACATACAATAATCTTTCTAATATCTCGCTTAATGTTTAACGAAATTGAGGGCTCTTTTGAAAACTTATAATGATATGGAAACTCTACAGATCATATTACAGTTATGAAGTGCGAATAATAATTATAATGGGTGCGATATAACGGCTGCCGAATAAGCGTGGTTTCCCGCCTAATTAATTATTGCTTATCTCGCTGAAACGCTCCTCGTCGGCCCTCTTTGGTGGCGAAAAATTTTAATTTGTTTAAGCCGATCTGTTGAATGTTAACTTTGTGTTTGTTCACTCAGTTGTAATATTTATAATATTAACTAATTTATTCTTAGTCCAGAGAAAAGAATTTTTTTAAAGGTAAAAGAATCTCATTAAATAAGTTTTAAAGTCTTGCGCACGACATTGAATACTGTTTGTAAGATTAAAACTTTTAATTTTATAGTATTTTATTTTTAAAAGCTTTATCGAATAGTCATTAATAAAAGTATAATATTTTTAAACATAACAAAATCATTTGCTAATCCATAGCCACTCGCCTTTTTTCTGTGTTGTACCTACTTATAAAATGAAATAAAAGCACGAGCGATAATATTGCCGCATCCGCTGACGGTGAGACGCCATTACTGAATTCGTGGACGACATATTGCGCTGCGGCCTGCGAGCAAAACGGCCGCGGCTCCGAAACAAGAGCAAAAAGCGCGGGGCGAAAAAAAAAAGACTGCACGAAGCGAAACAAAAACGAAACGGGCGTCCGTTGATGTGCTCGTTTTTTTATTGTCGCGACTCGTTACTCCCCGAGCTTGTAGATGCGACGTAAATTACGAGATATGCGAACGGTAGCGAGGTGGCGGCCGCGCCGCTAAAGTGAGAGATTTCCAGACGTGAATTATCCCTTTTTAAACGGGAGGGCGCTAAGGCAGCACATTCCGCGACTTGAGTACTGAATACGCAGGTGCTGTTACCAAATGGAGTACTTGAAGATTTTTGAAGATACAGAAGAAATAACAAAATGTGAAGGGACGGAGTTTGTTTCTTTTCGACTTTCGTTAATGGATAATCCATATCTAAAATAGTCAGTTTTTTCTTTACATATTAAAAGAAGTTTTACATCTTTGTGGAGTATCAAGTATATTAGTATAGTTTTTTTACTAAAAAAACGGCTGACATAGGGACCATTTTTATTTTAATTTTTGATGAAAGATAATACAACCGTATCTTCAATAAAGCGAATGTTTGGAGTGTATGTTATCTTGCAGTAATAATCTAAACCGAACGTGTTGAAGCAAAAACCATCAGTTGGGCTAATTTCTTCTGCTCTTTTCGTCGCGTGACTTATAACGAAGAAATGATTTTATCGTTAGTTTTGAAGTTAGTATTTTGGTGCCCTTGCATTCTTTATTTTTTAACACTGTTAAGGTAAATTTGAAGGTAGTAAAGCCAATGTTTTTTTGATCTTTATAATTTATCTAAGAAGTGACTTTATCGATATTATTAAGTTTAATATTTTTAATGATGCGAACCAAGCAAACTAAATGGTAAGCCTGGGACCTTGGAAGCCTTAATTTAAAAATAAATTAAAATACTTATATATGAGACTACTAAAGTACTATTTATTATCTCTTATTTACATTTAGGCATAGATATAACAAGTAGCCTTACTGCCGAAGATAAGTTTATCATTTCGATAATAATCTGTAGATACAAAATAAAAAAGCATCATATCAATTAATTGTCACACCATACATGCCATACAAAAAAATCTTCGATTTTATTTGAACTATGGAAAAATACATAAATTCCTCTTTTAGTAGCAAGCACTTTAAAAAAAAACATTACCTTGGCTTTCTGTGATTGATAATTGACGTTTCTATAGATTTGTGCTCAATTGCCATTTGATCTTGTTTTAATGTGTTAATTTGCTGTTTTGAATTTTAACTATAATCCAAGATAAGAAGCTGACGTAAATTATGTATTTATTATCATTACCGCAATAAGATAATCTTAACTAAATTAATAAATGTTCATAAAATTTGATGGGATGTAATAAATAACTTGATATTTATTTTTCTATTTTAATAATAGCATACTGAAAATAATCTATAACACCTTAAGTAAAAAATCTCAAAAATTATAAACGTAATATGCACACACAATTCTTTAAAAACTATAGGTAAATTACTTATATATTGAGACAGTTAAAAATTTATCTTCTTTCCTAAAAACTTGACCTATAAACTTGAAAAATAATATTTCTGGGCGGATTAGAGAAATCATATAAAATGTGTTCAATATAGCCATTAATTAGAGTACGATATCAAATCATGTGTGTTAATTTTATTCCAAGCGTGTTAACAATCTTACATTATTCTTTTATTATTTTTACTATTCGCATGAAACCTACGAAAACAACGGTTTTATTAGATCAAAGTGGCTACTTATACATATACATCTCCGATTCATTTAAGTATTCCTCAAACATGAACATGAAGATAGTCGACGAAAAATTCGAGTGGAGAAAATATGTATGGCAGCGGTATGCGGAGGGTGGTCGAAGAGGCTGGGAAGTGGGAACCGGGGGAGAGCGGGCGGTTCCCCCCGCGCTCGCGGTTAGTTTGCTTGCAGCCTTCGTACGTGGCTGACGTATATTGTGTTATCTTCGGTTTTTTTTTTACAACGATACGCGAGTGACTGACCGCGATATACGCGCGTCCTACTAGTGTTTGATTAGTGTGAGTGGAGTGTGTGCAGTGGCCTGTTTGTTTTATTTGTGGTGTTTAGACGATGACCGCGTGTGTCTGACGCGGGGATGTATCCGAGCGCGGGCGCAATGAACGCCGCCGCAGCCGCTGCTGCCGTGGCGGCCGCTAGGCATCCGGTAAACGTCACTGCAACTTATCTCAGTCATTTAATTTCGCATGTATTTCACGGATTATGAAATTATTACAAGAACGACATGTGCTCAATTTAAGAGCGACGTAATAATTAACAAAAAGATAAGTTGGTAAAAAAACATTTCGTCTAATTCTTATTTAACGAGTAATAAATTGCTACCAATTACTAAAAATGCCCTGAACAAATATGAGTCATATCTACATAAACTGTTTTTTTTTCTAGGCAACAAGATCAAAAGATAATCATACTAAATTGACCTTTAATTGTTTCATAGTGATATTATTCTTGAATAATATGTAATCGTAGTGTAATAATCTGTCGCGTTTTCCGACGGCTGATAAACCACAACATAAGTTTAATCTCCACTATTATATGTCTATAATTTAACCATAATACATCCTGAAAATGTAATAATTAGATTAATTTTCAGTATATTTAAGTCTGCAAACATAAACTGGTTAATCTTGTACCATAATTGACATACAAATTGTTTTTTTATAAACAGATAAATGTTCGAGTATTCTAGTTCTGTATCCCCATTTTAATTTAACATTTAAACCAAAAGTATATCAAGGCTTAAGTTATTAAAAAGATAATTACAAATTATAATGCTAAAATTAACAACCTATTTTAAGGCTTTCGAAACATGTTTATCAGTTGTTAATATAAAAAACAATCATGCATTTTTAAGAGATCAGAGAACAGTTTATTATGATGAAATGAAACCATTTGAAAAATTTTGGCAGAATTTGTGTTCATATAAAATGTGCTCATAAAGTTACTAATAAGACTAATAGTATACTTGTTGATAAGTAGTAAGTATATTGGTGATAATGAAATCAAAGCTTTTTGAAAATTGTTTGTTCAAAATTTGTATAATTTTAAATAAAAAAAATTCACAGTTACTTCAGTTTTCTTAAATCATTTGTGGACAGTAAAAGTAGTTGCCAAGGACATTAATAATTTAATTCATAATGGAACAATTTTACAAGAACTCTTCTGAAAGAAAACTTAATATTTTTATAATAATTTTATGTTGAAAATGAGATAAATATCTTTATAACTTGATATATTGTTTCTGATAATACAAGTTCAATTATTTGATAATTCATAATGTCCTGATTACGATGACAGCTTAAACTGGGTAAAAACTGATTATCTTATACAAATAAATGATAATCAGTTTATTATCTATTTTTAAATTATTGGCTACTGTCAAGAAGAGATAATTATTAATATTATTATTGATATATTTATGACAATCGAATGTCACCAATTTTTTTTAATCACTGTTTATGAAGTAACATGAGCGGGGGAGGATGTTTAATGTAAAATCTCTATTCACGTGTTTGCCAAGAATCCGTGTCGCGTCCTAGGCACTCGTCTCGTGTCAATATTTGAGTGTCAGAATTACCGCTACGGGCAAATGTGACGGCGCGTTCCCGCCGCTTTGGCGCTCATCAAATAACAGTTTTTGCGTGTGTTATTCAAGTCTCATGTTTGTTGTTTTAAAATTTAATTTATCACGCAATAAAACGGGGCCGCATCTGACATGGTTTTAAATAAAACAAGACTGCTGCATTTTACTTTAGCTCGTATACCTATTGAATGTTAACGAGTACTTATTTAAATCACAATTTTATCGGGCCTTAGTCATTCACGATTTGTACCTTATTTTTTACCTTAAAATTTATCGGCGGAAACGTATTATTGTGAATGAAGTGGGTTTGTGTATCAAAACTAATCTGATAACTGAAGTGTCTTGAGTCAATGCTCGGCCCGAAATAATTCCCGACATTTGAAGAGAGATAACGCTTATCGGCTTTTGCAAACAAGGCATTTGGAGTATGCTAACATTACTTTGTCATAATCAGGATGCCATCAATTCATTCACCTTGCAAGCTAACTTTCCCACTCAGATATTTACTTTTAACAGGAAGTAGGCTATGTACAGCTACAATATTAAACTATTCATATGTGCTCCACAGGTTTCATGAAATACATTTAATATACTTTCTTCAACCATAATTGTAATATTTTATATATTTAAATTTAGATATATTTTTAAAATTAAACAGAACCTTTGCCGTTATGTAAATATACATTAACTTGTGGCTTTCAGAAGCGACGTTTCTCGGAAAGCGAAACCCGTCTAATGATTTAAGTAAATTTTTTTTATAGTAACTGTGCTGTAAATTATGCCGCCACCATCGGTTTTATGAGCTCTAATCCGATTGGAATTCGGCGCAAATTAGCTTGAAACCGACGACGTTTAAATTAAGAAGCCAATATCGTTGTGCTTAAATGTTTGTGTCCGCACGTTTGGTTTCCAAGTGCGAATGGTGTTTAGCTATTAGCCGAGCTGCCCAGCTTATGTTGCCATTTTCGCGCAATGTCGCTAATTAAGAATTGACATGAATCTTTCCCACGTTTTTTTTTTCATCGCCGCAACACATTCTTGAAGGTTTAGCGAAAGCCGTGTAATGTACTAAATTAAAATTTTACAGTTGTAATCGCAAGATGTTTTCAATTCTTTAATTGCAGTTTATATTCTTACGGAACATTTTAATTATGTGGACTACACGTACTTGAGTACTTCAGTTTTTTTTTTTTTGCATCTTGCATTTATGGAACATTTTAATCTCTGGCATTACTCACACTTAATGACCTTTTTCCCAGTTTCATTAACATAAGATAATGTTTCGAAGTAACATTTGCATTTGTTATTCTCCACCATTTTACGAATTGAATTCGGGCTAAAGATTTGGAGTTTTTAGTGGTGTCTTTTACAAAAAAAAAAAAACCAAAGTGCACATCTATTGGATTCCATTGATCCATTCCTGTAGAATTTCGTATCGCGACAAAAGGGGGCCCCGGCCCAAGGAACGCACAGGTAGATGGGCAGGCGTATTCAATAATTGGAAATGGGAACACGTATTCCTTTTTATATCCGTTTAAACGCATTCTGTTCGAGTTTTGTTCTTACTAGCGCTCCTTTCATTCGACCGTCCACAATGCTGCCACTCAAAAACTCCCTCATTGTATTTTAATTTGACCTTTTTGGCGATAATTTATGGGAATGTTTTTTTTTTATCTGCGGAACGTTTGCTCCATTGTCGTGAGCTATTTTGCTTTCCCCCTCGTAATTTGCTCGGATTGTGTATTAAAGAACTTAGTTCAGTACGTATTAAAGTATAAAATAGATATTTTAATGGTAATCGTTCTTAAAACTTGTCTAACACAATCTTATTTATAAATCATTGTTTTTGCCATGTATAAAAACAAAATAGACAATATTAAAATTTCCTGTAATTCATGTGTAAATAATGCAACGGGCCCAAAAGGATTAACAGAACTCTGTTAAATTTAAGTAAGCTTTTAAACTTGAGATAACGCGCGAAGACACGTTGAGATTATGTAAACAGCACATATCGAGGGGGGAAACATCATAAAGACGTGATGTTATGTGTTATTACAAACATTTAACTACACGGTAATGTTATATGAAGCATTTTTTAAAAATATTGTTGGATAAATGTCTAATAGATAGAATGAACGGTACGAACATCTGTTCCTAATTTAAATTTCCCATCGGCAACATCGTAAACGCTGTCGCGGGGAATACTTTTTACGAGGCCTGCCTCTGCGGTTATCCCCCACGTATTAGGTTATTAAGTGCGATCGGCCATTAGGTGCGCGGCGCGACCGCACCGCGTCTCGGCGGTTACATTCGCCGGATTCCTGGTCGCGTTCCACCGGGACCAAGTTTACAACGTCTACACGCCGCGCCCTCGCCTCGGTTCCTCGTACTCTTTTTATTTACGCCCCTTTTTATTATTTCCAAAGGTCCGTTTGTTCCTCGCGCGCCGGCGGGCGGCGGTTATTTATTTTTTGCCGCCCGGCCTCCCGGCGACCGTGTGTTGTCCCGTCGCTTTATTTTTTTTTTTATTTTTATTTCCCCGCTTCTTATTATGGTGTTGGTCGTTTTTGTCCTTTTGGCTTTATTATAACGCGTCCGCGTGTTCGTGTTGCTTCATTTTTGTGTTAAGAGGTGAGCGCTCGGCGCTGCGCTCTGCGCTTTTTTTTTTTTTTTTGCCTCACAATCGAGCCCCGCGCCGAATTATGGTCATTAAAGGATAATTTGTATTATGGTAATGCGGTGCGCGTGTAATTTTCGTTTTGTGTTAGAAGCGGTTTCGTGCTGCGATCTTGATTGATCTGTCGTTTCACGGGTGTATTTAATTACGCGCTCGGGGTTGTAATCATTGGGAAAGTTGTAATGGGTAGGTAATAGCTTGAAAAGTAGTCATATGCATTAACTGAAGCTATATGAAGTCGATGTAATTTTTTTTATCAAATAAATCTTGGAAACATACGTTAATGATTTACGATACTACTACGGGATATTTGTTTGGAAGACTCCAAATTTCTTCCAAATAATGTTACTTAAATAAATAAATTGCCAACATACGTGGATAAAAATATTTTTGAACATTTTACTTTAGTATAATATTATGTGTTGTAAGGACTTTTTTGCAAAGATAAATTTCACGTGGACAAGCACGTAGTTCCGAAACAAGTATCTGTGGATTGGATAAATACTTGTCCTTTGTGGGGATCGAACCCACGACCTGAAGCCAATACCTTGTCGACTGCGCCACGGAGTCCATTGATCGTTAAGATTTCACTGTTTTGTCCGAAGTCTTCGACGTATACGCGTGACTTATGTCGGCCTTGTTCGCAGGGTCCACCGCAGCCGGGACAGCCTATCAAATTCACCGTGGGCGAGTCCTGCGATCGAATAAAGGAAGAATTCAATTTTCTACAAGCCCAATACCATAAGTAAGTATTAGTTGGTCATACGCCAAATTAAACATCTCTCATAACCTTCATTGTCATGTCATTGTAATGTATCGTTTTGCCACTATTAAACTGGTAAATCATATCTTTTTTTGACACTTATTATAGTTCTTTATGATATATTATTATCTTCAACTAACATACAAATTTCGTAGAAAATTTTAGTGTCAATTTTTATTACACTCAGTTTCTCGAAAAATTACACATCCTTTCTATTATGCATATCGCGAATTGTTGTGTAAAGTTCAATTATAACAATGAAAAAATTCTCCTGAATTTCGATGGATTGCTTTACCCGGATAATCCGTTTATGAGGGCCAACTTTATTAAATGTTAGTCTCGTCAGCCCGCAGGTAACAGGTACACAATGTATCGTTTCGATAAAAAATCGATTACAATTGACCTAGGCTCTGATAAAGGCTATTAAATGAGTTGCATGTCGCCATAAAGCCACTTATCGTTAATCTTTAAACACAAGAGCCGTTTGAACTGTTCGAGTGCCATATTAATCAACATTCATTGTGAAATTCCTTACAAGTTGTAAGTAACAATGTTAATATTTGTTTAGAGGGTTTAGGTTCCCGTTTGCGTTTTACAAACTCTTTTAATCTTAACTGATATAATGAATATATTAAATAATTATATTTTTTTTCTTTGAGTTACAATGTCTTTTATTATTATCGATCGTGCGACCGTGCACATCTGGAATAGTTTTAATGAAACTAAATTATATAATTAAATATTCTAGTTTAATGTTCCCGTAAATACAACACATCGTCGATACTAATAAATCTTTTAATTACTCCCTGTTGTTGAGTAAAATTAATATCGAGACAAATTTAGTTTTTGCATAGCTTTTCATATTTTTGTAACAGTTGTCAGCTGGGTGTCCTGATAATGCTTACCTTATTATTGATATGTTTTTTATAATGAGTACTATAGAAATAAAATAATGGCCGTCTATTGTTACAGTTTAAAATTAGAATGCGAGAAGTTGGCTAGTGAAAAAATAGAAATACAAAGGCATTACGTCATGGTAAGTAACGCGAACTTTTTATACAACTGTAAATGATAAACGCAAAAACACAAGAATTGCGTGAACAAGATGACAAGTCGCCCGATGAAGAACTCCTTTCATCCGCAAAATGTTACCTTTAACTGTGGTGAGGCCACGCAACAGCTTGGGTTGTTGCACGACTGGGCAGGTCAGTCGGTGTAAGTCCGACGACCCTCTATGAGGTGAAACCGACCCTCTACCAGCGTGAGGTGGAAGTGTTATAACTACTTCTGCGATTCGTCTGGTGAGTGAGGTAGCCGGGGCGCAATTTATCTAAAGGTGGCGACGAATCTGCAAACCTACGGTTGTTGCAAGTGTTCATGGGCGGTGGTTATCACTTCACATCAGGTGAACCGCCAGCTTGCTTGCCGCCTTCTAATATAAAAAAAAAACCTTTATCTTGGTGCCCATCTTCGACTTGTTAACGTGTTTATATTTATTGCGTTTTGTGGAATATTGGCTAACGCGCTGTGTAATATTAATTAGATGTATCAGTCCATTTTGTCCTCCGCCATTATTCAGCGATAATTGGTCGCGTGAGTAACTGCCGCAGCGTATGTTTATGATGAAATATCGATCGGCCTTATCCCTGTGCGTACTTAATATTAATAAGCGATCCTAGGCATCGCCCTAATCGGTTTGTTCAGCTTCTGTTTGACGACTGGGCAGGCTCGTTCGGGGAAGTACCACAGTCTGAAACAAGAGCAGCGTGAAGTGAAAGCATTATATCTTCACTGAGCATTATACACACTTTCGCGTTTCCGGGTAACTGGGGCCAACTTTTTTGAAAGTTATCAACGCATTTGCATGGCATTGGTATTAAAGATGTCCATGGGCGGCCGTAGACACTTAACACTATCACCGCCTTCTGGCTTGACGACGTTTCACATAAAGAAAACACATCTAATTCATTTTTATGTACGTCTGTACGCCTTTTTTGAACACTGAGTCGGTATATAAAACGATATGGTAGAATTTCTTCTGTTTATTCTTTACTACGGCAGCAGTAGTAAGCCGTGTAGTGAATGATCGGCTCGTCTGGTGAGGTACCACACCACAGTCTCAGTGTAGACCGACGAAATGTGGAATAATTCGCACTTTTGAATTAGGTCTGGTCAGATGTAACAGGATTTGCTCCTAAAGATTACAGGTGCTCTGTCGTCACTTTCAAACGCAAAAAGGAATTTGTAATGACTATTAAAGAAATTATCCTTACTTCCTTACTAATATTATAAACGCGAAAGTTTGTATGTATGGATGGATGTTTGTTACTCTTTAACGCAAAAACTACTGTATAAAAATATTGAATAGATTAGAATAAGACATAGGCTATAATTTATAGAGATTGTGTGAATTGTCCAAAAATATAGGTGATGATAAATGTCAACTAAATTGGAAAATTGTCATTGTTAATTCCTTTGGCCACGCGGGCTAAGCTGCGGTTAACAGCTAGTAGTTTAATACTATGATGTAAGGTGGAATGTTAACTGAATACTATAAAGTAAAGTGGAATATTAACTGCAAGAGCCGGCAGCGTCCAATTCGGAAGCATAGATGTTTGGACGCCAGTCCCCACATCGCACGGCGCGGCGACATGAATCACGATTAAGTGCTGCCAAATCGCTTGCAATTCATTTTAATACGCCCCAGGGGAAATTCTCGCGGGCGTTTTTGTGTCGGAAACACTCCTGGCCGACATCCAAACAGCGCTGCGGATGTTTAGTTACTCACGCCGGCGATGAGGAAGCCGACGCGAGCCAAACTCTCCTCGTCCGTATGAAATGTGGCCGTGCTAATTTGTGACGTTTGTGTTTCAGTACTATGAAATGTCGTACGGCCTTAACGTGGAGATGCACAAACAGGTAAGCGATATCAGCTCTCTCTTTTAATATTTTTATATTTTTATATTTCACTGTATGACATGCGATTCAATTATTTTGATGACGAACGTCTGCATATCTCCGAATACTTGTGCAATATGGTTGCGAAATAATTTTGCAATGATATATTATATAATTGAAACATTTTAAATTCTAACATAATGAAGAGCGTTTAAAGTAATCATTAAATATTTCTTCATTCATAATACGCTCTGTACAGAGGAGGCCTTTGCCCAGCACTTGGGCTATTTATACTTTCACTTTTTTACTTTTACGTTCATAATTTCAATCCGTTCCAGACCTTTCCCACGGACTGATTAGTAATTATTTATTATTATCTTGTAATCGCTCAATTCAAATCAATATGTTACGAACAGTAACCTATTCACGACTTATGCATACCAATTTATACCAGCTGCCTACGGGGGCTGCCTTAATAAACCCTCCGCTAAAAGGTAATTGAAGAGCTACTATCAATGAGGGTGTAAAACCTTGTACTCAATTATTTATTGTATCGGCGTTTCTTCTATTAAAGTTGCACCTTTTAAAACCATTAAGTCTTTATTTAAAATTAATGTGAAATTGCGCACGTCTGGTAATAATTGCTGCACTAACATCAGGGATATGTTAATTTTATCACGCTAAAATTTCTTTTACAATTATAAATATAGGTGTCATGAATAGTTTATCGCTTTTCAATTCTGTTTATTATATTTAAAATTATAGGTCATGAAATATAAGGGTTCAAATCGTAGGATACATAAAGAACAGAAGACACATTTTGAATAGAGATCACATTTTTTTATTTCGTTAAAGCAGAGATAAGCTACGACAGATTATATACCCCACGTTTCACTCTTCGGCTCGAAAGCGATGTTGTGACGGCGTTTCATTTCAATACACAACGTTATGATCGAAATATGATAGGGGGAAAGCGCCTAACAATCTCCCCTAAGGGTGCGCAAAGCGAACAACATATATCTTTTAGTTAGGGACGCTTAAGAGAATTTACAAAACGGGCCTTTCCCAGGGCTGCAACAAATGTCCATTCGTGATGAATATGCAATAAATTTTTTATACGGAATAGAAATAAACCGAAACTTAGGATTGTTGGTTTTAAACTTACAAATTTTTGTTTTTAATTTATTTTACAGTTTAAAAACTTATTGTATTGGAAGCATATAAATTTCGTAAATATACATATAAGTTTCAGCGACAAGTAATCGTATTCAATTACTTTAAGAGACCATAAAGCAAATATTTGGCTACCTGCTTTAACTGCTAGTCAATGCTAATAGCTCAGTTAAACGCCAATGTTTAATTTCAAATCCCTTGCATTCACTCGACACCCCTTACCGCAGCGCAACAATAGGGTTCGTAACGAATAGATATTACTGTATGCGTCGAGGGTCCTCCTCGCTGCAGGGGTGATCCGCGGGGGTCCCCCGGTAATCTGTTGATTTTACGCTCCCCGACCTCCGCCGCGCCAGAACCCCACTTTTAATAATAACCATACTTTAACACATCCTCGAAGCGGGGACGAAATCAATTTACCTCTCTCAAAATACTTCATTATTGGATGTTTACTCCAACCCCGCGATAAGCCGAGACAGATCTCTGGATAAAAAATATGTTATGCACACTATGTATTATTTTTTTAAACGTAACTAAAGTTTAAACAAATATTTATTTATATCGACAAAAGAAAGTTGGACGAATTACATAAATATTTAACAATTATTTAATTCGAAGTTTTGTCAAATTTCGAAAATATTACCTCTTAAAATAACATCATTATTGGATATCTAAACCAGCAATAAGCTGGATAAAAATATTTTATGCAAATGATATATTATATAACTTAAACGATATATATTTCTTAAGGTGGAAACTTTAAGAAAATATTTCCAAATATAGTCATAATCCGAGATAACGAGACATGACGTTCAAATTTATTCCAAATAAATACTTTGTTTTCTGTTCGACGAAACGTTACGCGAACGCATAGACAGCGTTCGGAGTGCTTCATGTATTATTGATGACGTCGCTCGTAAAATTACCCGGGGCTCGGGCGTCGCTGCGCAATATTTGTACAGGACCGGGCGGCGGCGAGGGTGATTTAGAAGGGTGCATTGTTTGTCATTGTGGCGGACAGATGGCGGCGATATTTAGCGTGCACTGCTCCGCTTCATTGTTGTAGATTATTACATTAGCACTTAACACGCTCGGTCGGGCGGGAACCGGGAACGCACCCGCCATCGCGGAGCGTCCGACATAATGGAACAACAAGCGATGTTTTTACTCCTTCGCTTTTTGTGAGTCGCCATCGCGTGACGCTCCGACATTCAATTACAACAGTTTTTTTTCCTCGATTGAGCGCGAATTGAATACTGGAGATCGGCTACAAATTACCCGGTCGTCCATTATACGGGTTTTTTAACGTCAGTCGACTGATTCAACACCTATTATTATATGTATATTGGATTATTCGGCGTTCTTGTGCCGCGATATTGTGCCATTGGTTTCGATGGTGCATTTTTCTACTGTTGTGAAACTATAGCTGTCTCATTCTCAAATATTGAACAATCGCGAGTAGGTGTCGCACTTTGAGCATTCCGTACATAACTCTTGTTATGAGATTATAAGTGAAAACTTACTTCTTGCTAAACTCCACAATTGTAGGTCAAAATGTAGTTATCCCACGTTGCGATGTGGGTTTAAGTATATTAAGATATACGAGTATACTAGATGTCCGTTAATTTTATTGAAACTCTAGTTAATTGACGTAAATTTCATTTTACTATTGACTTTATTCAAGGGATTTGAGATTCAAACGGACGGATAACAACGGTACGGGACGGAACCCTAAAGACTTAACAAAACGTGCCAAGATGGTGGACTCGCCGCACCGCATGACCGCGTCGAATGCGCGTTTTCCGCTCTTATATTACCGACGGCGACTAATTGCCGAGATTTCCTTTTGTTAGTCGCGGAGCCGGACCGCGCCGAATCGCCTACTTGCGGCGTGAATTCATCGTCGGGTCGGTCGTGACGGCGCGGTCGAGCGCGTCTCGACTGCTCTGTGTGGCGATAATTTGGTAGCGCTGTCGGTATGCTGTGGGTTCGAATAAATATTAATGAATAAGCTTATTTGAACTAGATTATTTTTCGGATCTGGTTTGTTCCCAATTAGGGTCGACGTCAGATGTCGTAGACCATGCCAACACAACCTAGGTGACCAGCGTTAACGAAATTCGAATTGCTTATTCCTCTCTTTTTTAAGACTTTAAAGATCGTTTTATGATCATGATAAACAAACTGTGTACTATAAATAAAATTTTTTGGTTACACGTTCATATATATTTACACACTTTTTTGTACTAACTGGTACAAACGGCGGGCTTAATGCCATAAGGCATTTTCTACCAGCCAACCGGAAAGTTAGTGAAAGAGAAGTGTAGGTGCTAGCTATATAAGGATTATATAATATGTATACATACATTATGATAACAATTATTAAACACTTACAACAATAAATATTATAATAGGTAAATATATATATATATACGTACATAAAACGGAAATATCTATCAAACGTTATCCATACTACTGATCATAAGACGACGAATTAAAATATTCCTTAACTTTAGCTTTAAAAATAAATTTATTCGGTGATTTTCGAATTTCACTAGGAAGAGCGTTCCAGAGTCGAGCAGCTGTAACTGCGAAGGATTTAGAGAGAAAACCGGTACTGTGAGAAGGAATAAGCAACGTAAGATTACCAGCAGATCGAAGATTGCAGCAATGAGAGGTACCCAGGTACTGAAATTTAGACTTCAGATACGCTGGGGCAAAAGGATGGTTAATGATACTATAAAGCGTACAGAGGATCCGAAGATTCCTCCGTTGGGAAATATTCAACCAGTTTAGTTGAGAGCGATATGATGAAATTTGGTCAAACTTTCGAACACCATAAATTAAGCGAATACATTGATTAAGGAGGCGATCCAATTTGCTAAGAACATCCATGTTTGCATCTGAGTAACACACATCAGCGTAATCGAGATGTGGAAGTATAAGTGATTGAACTGAAAGTCTTTTAGTATAAGGTGGTAAGAAATTTTTAAATCTATATAATTGTCTCAAGTTGGAATAAACTTTACTGCTGACTTCATTAACTTGCGCCCGCCAGCTGAGCGAGGAATCAATAGTTAACCCAAGATTCTTAACTTTTGGTGAAAAGGGAATGACTTGATCATTGTACATCACGGGCATCACGCAATTATAATCTATTTTCCATAACTGACGTTCACTCCCTAGAATTATGGCTTGGCATTTGGTGGGATTTACAGTAACACCGTACTTTTTCGACCGTAAGTCCTAGTTGTAAATATGTTCGAGATCAGAGTTAATCTTGGTAACAGCATCATGTAAATGCGCTGCTTCAGGCTGGGCATACAGCTGCAGGTCGTCGGCATACAGATGGTAAGAGGAGCGAAGATTACATGTAACAGAATTTATAAAAAATGAAAAAAGTATTGGTGACAGTATTCCGCCTTGCGGAACACCGGTGGCCAGATCGCACCAACTGGAGAACTTTCCATCGACACGAACCGCCTGCCAGCGACCACGAAGATAAGAACAGAACCAATTCAGTGCTGAGGATGATGAAAATCCTAGGTGAGATAAGATGGCAAGAAGGATGTCATGGTCAACAGCATTAAAAGCGTTGGAGAAGTCGATCAGTACTAATACTGTCACCCTGCCATCCCCCATACCATGTCGCACATCCTCGGTAACCGCTAATAGAGCAGTAGTGGTACTATGACCCGGCCAAAACCCCGATTGGAACTTATTCAACAGGTTGTTCTTATGAGCGAAGGTGCAAACTTGTTTAAAAACAATAGTCTCTAAAGTTTTTGATAAAAACGGCAAGATAGAAATAGGCCGGAAATGATTCGGTGAACTGGGTTTACTAATTT